TGTATAAGCAAATTAACGCTAATTGCGGTAATAAATAATCAGAAGTCGGACTATATAAGAATTTAATTATTAGGTGTTGAACTTAATTCCTGCCGTTTTTCGTCTCCAAAATTGATTTGTTTCGAAGGGAAGATGAATGAATATCTTAATCAAAGTAATTTCCTCTATTTTCTACTTTATTACTAATTAATAATACTTTATTAATAATACTTTGATTAAGGTATTTCCCTTCGAAATAAATCAATTTTGGAGACGAAAAACGGCAGGAATTAAGTTCAACACACTTAATATTTACTTTTTGTGTTTCAATATAATATTTAATACATATATGAGGAGCAGAATTTAAAATGTATTTTATCAAATTTATAATTTTTAGATAACGAAAAGAAACCCACCTGAACACTACACTGTTAAATATTATAGGGTCAAATTAACTCAATGTGAGTGGCCATTGCTCCTACTACATAACATCGTTATGTTTTACTAAAACAATAGTTATATTTGACACTATACAGTATCAATTTAACATTATATTATGTCAAATTTAATTATCACTTTAGTAAAAAATAACGATATATATAGTAGGAGCAGCAGTGACTCACATGAGTTAATTTGATCCTATAAAATTTAACAGTGTACGCGCCTTACAGGAAATAACAATTTGTCAATCAGTAAGCCGAGAAATGTTAAACGAAATTGCTAAACAATTGTTAAAAACATTAGACGATGCATTTTAAGGAGGTTTTTACGTTTTAGAGGTAAAAAACATCGATTTTTTTCTATTTTTTTTAAAGCTTAGTCTTAAGAATCCCATAAAAACGTATTATGGAAGAAACGAAAATTGTACGTCTAAAAATTGTTGTCTAAAATATACGATATAAAATGACGGGGTGTTTGGGGCCGCCTGATCGATTCAAATAGCGCGCATCAATCAATTGCTATAACCGGCGCTCGCCATTACTTATATTTAACCTTTCGAAACCATTCTAGAACGGTTCTATTCAAACGAGCAAGTTTCGTTCCTTTCTGAGTGTAACTATCGCTCCTAACGGAAAACGGAGCGGTGCTTGTACTAAAATGTTTCAGAACTTTATTCGCGTTTTTCTTTACCATGTTTCGAATATAGTGATCACGATTCTAAAAAGACTATTAATCCGATTGACTTTTACTTTTACGGTTATACTCAGAGAACATGTCATTATCGCTTAAATTAGAATTAATAGTCTATGTTAATTTTTTCTATTTTTTTGATTGTCAAACAAAAAGAAAAAAAATGAAAAAATTCGAATTATTTTTTCAAACTGCGGAGACGTAGCGTCAATTCAATCGTATTATAACTACCTGTCGACATGCGGCGCAGCTCTCTCTTACAACCAGAGATGGAAGTTATTTTTACTGTTAGTTTTGTAGTAACTTTTTTATGACGATTTTACTGTTACTTTTTATATTACAATTTTACCGTTAGAGTTTTGCCGTTACTTCTTTATGACGATATATGTCTAGATCAAATTCATTGGAGATGAAAATTCTGACCATATATTTATTCGATTACATTACTCAACATTACTACCTTCACAGCGTTTTTTTAAAGATGTTCATCACTTACGAATATTTAATAATAAAAAGTAGTGATTAATTATTTATTTTAAATATCCGTTGTTTATTTTTAATACTCAAGGTATTGTATATACATGTTTTGTACAGACAATACAAACAACATACATATGTTGTCAAGGTCATGGTCATGACTTCCATTCTTTATATGTTACCAAAAGATCTTTATGTGTTTCACACTGTAAAGATTTTGACGCACAATGTCAACAAAAATAGCTTACAAAGTAAATGTATTCACATGTATAATACTAACCCAAGGATAGCTGCAGAGATCAGAGCACTTAAGGCAATAACGTATGACGGATAATTGTACAGAATCGCAATATACATCGTCTTAACAAATGAGGTGAAATTTATGTCAATTTTTGAATAAATTAAAGCCATACAATTAGTATACGTAAAGTGATGAAAAACGTATACAATCCATCCGATTATTATTCGATTTATCCAATTACGTAGCCTTTGGTATTCCTTTGGCGTTCCGAGAACTTCCAACGTGTGGTCTACTATAGCAAGTTCACGTAAACACGTTTTCAATTCCTTTAAAAAAATCATATTGATCGATTATGCGGCACAAAGAAATTATTGTAATTTTATATTAGAGTTAAAATTGTTATTGCAATGTTTACACGAAATGCGACAGATAAAGAGTTACATTATAATAATGTAAGCATTAAAATTGATCTATTAAAAAAAATTTTTTTTTTTTTAAGTTTAATTAGTTTATTGCAAAACGCTGTGGAAAAGATTACATGCTAACACAGCAATAAACATGAATACATAATATGTTAGATAAGACGATAGTAACTTGCAAATGGGGTTAGGCGTCAGCAAATCTGCTATTACAAAGCCTTCCAGCAACAAAAAACCGCGACTAAGCAACGATACAATGAGTGGTGAAACAATTGTTAAAATCATACACATACTCACGCATACACACGCAAGCACCTACATATACCAGTCATGTCAGTCTCGTTTGAATACTGTGAGTGACGCGAGGAAACGCGAGGCAGCAGAACGAAAGCAGGACAAAGAGGGAGATATTTTTATTAATACAGTAAAAGAGAATTACACACACAATATTTGACTGAGGCAGGAGAAAACAGCACGGAACTTAGTGGAACGATGAATGAGAAGGATAAGTAATTTTGATATCTGGTTACAATTGGGGTTAAAAGTGAATTGAAGCTTAGAGTTCAATTGAAGGAGGCGTCGCAGATATAAGGGAGCATTGGAGCGAAGGAGAGGAAAACCTAGACAGCATAGGTGGAGAATAAAATGTTGCCACATTCTAAGCCAGCCGGATCTCTGGTAATACGGAGATATATGGTCGTATTTACTGACACAATAAGAGAAGCTGAGGTAAAAAATTTGGATAGGCTGTACACGATGTAGGAGTTGTTGATTAAGAGCCGGAACGTAGACATTGGTCAAATCAAATAGCGAAATAACGCTTAAATGAGAAGTGAGGAGTTTCTGAGAGCAGTAAAAGATGTGGCGAAGGGACTAAAGAAGATGTAGACGGGCGTATGCAGCTCGTCACACTTGACGGTCACGTGTGACGAATATGAAGATTTAACATGGACACCAAGAATCTCAATAGAGGTGGAGCGAGGAATTGGAAGGGAATTAAGAAAAATATGGAAGGATTGAATACGAGATAATAATGTTGAGAAACCGAAAATAAGCAAGGATGATTTAGAATTTAGAGGGATTTAGATGCAGCGAATTATTAGTAGAGACCACTCGGCAATAGATTATAACAGCGCTTTTTTTCAACTGGACATTAGGGGTCTGCGCTGGGTGCTATCTTGCACAAAAATTAATTGTGAATAACAATTTAAATTTGTACGTTTCGGCTCACGTTTTGAGCCAGCCTCAGCAATAACAATTACCGCTAATTGCACTAAATATTATGTCGAACTCTGTATCGCAAAATCGCTGTTCCTTCCAATTATGCAGTTGCAGTAGTGGAAATGCGGTGAGAAACCACCATCCTCAACAGTGTCTGATGTTGCGACAACCAGTTGCAAAACTGAATGGAGCAAATGATGGATCTCAAAATATTATTTGTATCAAGATTTTTTGAACAGATTGAGATTTATTTTATGTTATTTATAAATGATGGCAAAACTCACCCAACCTCCAACAACGATTGCACGCAAATCCAAACCTCGTCAATTAAACAAATTTATGATTGACGATTGTCAAAGTTAGATTAAAAATAATTTAAGAACTAAAAAAGACAGTCATGTTTATTACGTCAATTATAAAAATACACATATTATAACTTGTAGAGAGTTCCTATTTAACCATGATTTAATGCCTCAGTATCAGTTTGAATGTTGAAACCATTTGATTAACGATTTATGTAGAGCATCTTCGACATTATTCTTTTATTATAATTTCTCTCAATATCCAGAATTCTGACATTATCCCAGTCGAAGTCATGATTGTAACTCACCCTATGCTCTGTGATAACTGAACGAGTTGATGTAACTCTACGTGTATGATTATGGTTTTCTGCTAATCTCGTTTTTAGTTTTTTTCCCGTTTGGTCTACATAGGAAGCATCGCAATCGGCATTCGAACTTGTAAACCACATTCCTTTTGGATAACTTTTGCAAAGGATCTTTGTGTACTCATATATTTGTTAATTTTATTGATATTATAATGAGCAACCACTTCATAAGACAGACCATTAGTAAATTTGCAGAACTTATTTATTAGATATTCTATTGATGAAAGGTATTGTGAACCTTCTGATTTGTTATTTTTTAACCTTGTTAGTAGAAGTCTTATAATTACAATTGGATTTTTTATTAATTTTTATGTCCTATCTCTGTCGCGGAGCGCTAAAGGTGTGTAGAGCGAGAGATCGAGAGATCGATAGATCGAGTGTGTGTGTGGTAAGAGCGAGAAAAGGTGTGTGAGTATTATTATTGTTATTGTGTTGTATTAAAAAGGATAGGATGTAACGGATATGTTTCGAGTTGTTGTATAAAGAGAATAAAAAGGGCGTTCAACCAAAGAAAAAGTTATATATTCATACCCCCCAAAGATTCGGATACATAAACCATGAATCAATCACCAAATTGGTCCTTCGAGCCGGATTCAGCTGTAAAAGGCTGAGGTATGTGAATAGAAGAAAGCGTTGCATATAACAAGTTTTGCACGTTAGCAAAGAAAACGGATGTCTGGAAGGCATTTGGCATTGTGGCCAATCGAAATACAATTGAGAAAGTATCGAGATTGCCCGGAAAGAAGCAACTTAACCTCAAAGCTGAGCGTTAAGATAATACATCGTATAGCTGGAGAAGCGATTTTGGCACCGTCAGGTAACATTCATCTTGTGGTATTTGGGTGTTAACTATTTTTATTGCAGAATGACCGATAAAGAAAGGGAGTATGCTGATCTTAAGCGAAAACGCGCTACGATTAAGAGCCAGATTACCAAATTTTCGACATTTTTGGATGGATTCATCGTTAATAAGGCAGCTCTAACGCAACTTCGTATTAGGTTGGAGAAAATAGAACAATCATGGATGGGCTACAGCAACATCCAAGATCAAATTAAAGCGTTGGACAGCACTGAAGCATTTACATGTAAGCAACAACAAGAACGATCGGAATTTGAGGAAGCATATTTTTCGATCGTAGGAAGAGCACATCTCATTTTAGAGGAAAACACAAATCAAAGGGTTAACATGGAGGTAGAAAATGCAGCCGTAGGTATAGTTAGTGAAAACGCGATTGGTACATCGGTAAAGTTACCAGTTTTGAATCTGCAAACTTTTGAAGGAACATACGAGCAATGGCCTATGTTCTTTAGTACATTTTCGGCATTGGTAGATAAAAATGCTAATTTGAATAATGTGCATAAGTTTTACTATTTACAATCAGCATTGGGTCCAAAACCAAGAAAAATAATTGAATCTCTTGATCTAACTGAAGAAAGCTATCCAAGAGCGATAGAGTTATTAAAGGGTCGTTTTGATAAGACTAGATTAGCCACGCGACATCACGCTAGGGCAATATTCGATTTGAAACCGATTATTGAAGAATCTTATGACTTACGTAACTTAACCGATAACCTCAAACAACATTTAGAAACATTGAAGGCGCTTAAGTACAAGATTGATACTTGGTGTCCGTTAATCATAGAGTGGATTTTAACTCGAGTCGATCCAATAACGGCGCGTGAATGGGAAGACAAAACAGCTCCTAATCCAGAATACAAAACGAAGGAGTTCATTCAATTTCTTGAAGCTAAATGTAACATGTTAGAGAATGTTAGCGCGTTAGATAATACAAAACTAGATAGCGAAAAATCGAAAAGGTGTAAAGATGTAGCGCATGTTACTAAGGAGTCAAGACTAAAGTGCCCTATATGCAAAGGGGAACATAAGACCTATCAATGTGAAACATTCAAGGGTTTAAATGTCAAATCGAGGTTAGCCGAAGTGCATAAAGCAAGGCTTTGTCTAAACTGCTTACACCCAAATCATATAGTTCGTGATTGTAGGTCCAATGCGTGCAAGCAGTGTAACAAAAAGCATCATTCATTGTTGCATTATCAAAATAGTGATAATGAGAGTAAAAATGAAGTTAAAACCGAAGTAGAGGTATTCAAGATAAGCTCAATAGCAAACTCAATAGTAACATGCGTTCCCACGTGTACGAATTCTGAAATTCTTTTGTCAACTGCATGTGTGCAGATAGTAGATAAAAACGGAAAATGGCATGAGGCGCGTGCGTTATTGGACAACGCGGCGACGATCAATTTCATAACTTCTGACCTGCTTCATAAATTAGATTTACAAACAGAAAGGGTAGCGGGTCAGGTAATCGGGTTTAGTGGAAATGCTACGCGTACGAAAGAAATTGTAACAACGACGATTAAATCAAAGGTGCAGCAATATTCTCAATCGTTAAAATGCACAGTGGTTGATCAGATTACTAGTAAGATTCCAGAGAGTCGAATCGACATATCACGATTGAAGCTTCCCGATTCTATATCCATTTCGCAATTGGCTGATCCAATGTTCAACGTACCGCAAGAGATAGACTTGCTACTAGGAGCAACAGTCTTCTGGAATGTATTACAAAGGGAACGAATTCAACTCAATAACGAACAATCGGTATTCCAAAACACGAAGCTCGGATGGATTTTGGGCGGAAGCTTCACACCCAGCCAAGTATCGGCAACCAAAATTTGTTGTCTAGTAACGAATGATAATCTCAGCAAGCAATTAGAACGGTTTTGGGAGCTTGAAAAATGCGACCTTCATAGAACCTTAACTATTGAAGAAGCGAAGTGTGAGAAGCATTTTGAGTCAACTACCAATCGAGATAGAGATGGGAGATTTGTCGTATCACTACCACTGAAGGGCAAAATCCAAGATCTGGGAGAATCCGAGCACAACGCGATGAAGAGGCAAAAATCGATTGAGCGTCGATTCACGAAAAATTCCGTGTTCCAGCAACGCTATGTAGATTTTATGCGGGAATATCAGAGGATGGAGCATATGGAACTAGTTCCCGAGAACGGAAATCACGGCGTAGTGAATTACTTGCCGCATCATGCAGTAACACGCGAAGAAAGTACTACAACAAAACTCAGAGTGGTGTTTGACGCCTCCTGTAAAACGTCCTCAGGTCAATCGCTGAATGATTTGTTGATGGTGGGCCCTAAGATCCAACAAGAGCTCATGGAAATTTTGATTCGGTTCCAACAGCATAATTATGTCTTGATCGCAAACATTTCTAAAATGTTCCGTCAGATCAAAATAAACAAAAGGGATAGAGCCCTGCAGAGAATCCTCTGGCGAGATGATCCCAGAGATACCATTCTTAAGTTTGAGTTAACAACGATAACTTATGGTACGGCCTCTGCACCGTATCTTGCTCAAAGGTGTCTTAAACAACTAGCACTCGATAACTCTCAAACGTATCCAGGAGCAGCAGCGACTATTCAGAATGATTTCTACATGGACGACTTGATTACAGGGAGTGATTCTGTATCACATCTACAGCAGCTAAAACAAGAAATAGTGAAGATTTTGGCCACGGCTGGACTGGAGCTCCGGAAGTGGAACTCTAACGTGTTGGAATTATTATCAAACTCCGAAAACGAAAGGCCTCTTGCATCCAAGGAGGAAGTGAAGACGTTGGGAATTCATTGGAACGCGCAGGAAGATATGTTCAAATTTAAGGTGACAATACCTAGAGAAGCTTGTAAGTCTAAACGGGGTATCCTTTCCGTCATTGCTCAAATTTACGATCCATTGGGTCTCATAGGGCCAGTCATGGTAAAGGCCAAACTGTTCATAAGAAGCCTGTGGAAATTAAGCGTGAATTGGGATGACAAATTACCAAGTGAATTTATGTTCGAGTAGAATTCCTACAAGGAAAGACTGGAAGTTATGGAAGAAATACAGGTACCACGTCAAGTAGTAATCAAGGACGCCATCAAGGTGGAAATGCATGGATTCTGTGATGCGTGTCGCAGGTGGCTTATGGAGCCTGTATTTATTTGTGTTCTATAGATACAACGGAAAAAAGAACCGTACGATTACTAACGTCTAAATCACGTATAGCGCCCATGAAGATTATCTCAATCCCAAGATTGGAATTATGCAGTGCAGTACTACTGGCGAATCTCACTAACAAAATAAGGAGTGTTATGACATTCCCGATAAGCAAGTATGTCTATTGGAGTGACTCTAGTATTGTTATCCATTGGATTCGAGGTGAGCCAAACAATTACAAGGTCTTTGTAGCGAATCGGATGGTAGAGATCCAAGGCTTAACACGTCAAGAGGAATGGCGTCATGTAGGGACAAAGTCTAACCCTGCGGACATGCTGTCTCGAGGTATGGATCCTCGGGAATTACCCTATTCAGAAATATGGTGGTCGGGACCATCGTGGTTACAAGCAAGCCCGGATCAATGGCCACAGGAATTTATTATGGAACGACAAGACGGATTAGAAGAAAGATCCCGAGAGAGGGTCTTGGTAACGATCCATAAAGAAGGATGCAACCTGTTAGACAAATTTTCGTCACTATCCAAATTGAGGCGGGTGGTAACTTACTGTTATAGATTCGTGGAAAACGCAGGAAAGTCAACGCAACGAAGTAGTGGACCCTTAAAGGTAGAGGAATTGAGAAGAGCTAATATCGCGTTAATCAAGATAGTTCAGCGTCAAGCATATTCTCAAGAAATTAAAGAGTTGAGCAAGGAAAGAAATTTCAAGAGTGTAGCCAAAAGTAGTCGCATCTTAGCGCTAAATCCATTTTTAGACGAGCAAGGAATCCTACGAGTTGGCGGCCGTCTGAAGAATGCGGAACTGTCATATGATCAGCGATTTCCCATTATCCTTCCTTCCGATAGTCCTTTTTCTACATTGCTCATCCGCGAGAAACATTATCAGTATTTACATGCAGAACTCAACACATTGAGTGCCATCATTCGCGAGAATTATTGGATTGTATCGGCCCGCAGAAAAATTCGTGGTGTATTACGCCGATGTATATTATGTTTTCGTAAATCTCCGAAAAATATAAGTCAACTTATGGGTAATTTACCAGCAGTGCGGGTAAATCCGGGACGTCCATTTAATCATACGGGTATTGATTACGCCGGCCCGTTTACAATTAAGATATCGCGTAACAAATTGGGCATGTATACTTAGCTGTATTTGTGTGTTTAGCCACTAAGGCTGTTCATTTAGAGTCGTTTCTGATTTGTCAACCGTTGCATTTATTAACACCTTGAAACGATTCGTCGCGAGGCGTGGTAAAAGCAGTCACTTGTACTCAGATAACAATTAAAGAACGAAGTTTTAGAGTTTACTGCTGAACAATCAATTAGGGGTGGACATACCCCCATACCCCCATATTCCCCTCATGTTGGAGGGATATGGGAATCAGCCGTAAAGGCAGCTAAATCTCATATGAAGGCAATAATGAATCAGAATAGTTTGACATTTGAGGAATTGACCACAATATTTACTCAAATCGAAGCTATACTAAATTCGAGGCCAATAACTCCAGTCTCAACGGACCCCTCAGATTTATCGGCACTTATGCCTGGGCACTTTTTAGTAGGCGCGCCCTTGACGGCGATTCCAGAACCCAATCTTGAGCAGATACACTTAAATCGCTTATCGCGCTTTCAACTACTATCTAGTATTATACAAGGCTTCTGGAAGCGTTGGTCAAGAGAATATGTTTCTAATTTACAAGTTAGACAAAAATGGAAAGAACGTAAAGAAAATCCTAATCTTAAGATAGGTGCTCTTGTATTGCTACGAGATGATAACGCCCCCCCGCTTCAATGGAGATTGGGTCGCATAATCGAGCTCATTAAAGGACAAGGACTAGTTCGGACGATGAAATTGAAAACCCAGTTAGGGTTAACTCAACGAGCGATTTAGAGAATTAGTGTATTGCCATTAGAATAAATATTTTTTTTGTATTTGTTTGTTTTTGAAAGTCAAGCCTTTCAAGGCGGGCAGGATGTCGCGGAGCGCTAAAGGTGTGTAGAGCGAGAGATCGATAGATCGATAGATCGAGTGTGTGTGGTAAGAGCGAGAAAAGGTGTGTGAGTATTAAAAAGGATAGGATGTAACGGATATGTTTCGAGTTGTTGTACAAAGAGAATAAAAAGGGCGTTCAACCAAAGAAAGAGAAAGTTATATATTCATACCCCCCAAACGTTGGGATACATAAACCAATCATCACTATCAAAATATACTATCATATCCAAGTTAGATCAGATTTTAGCTTGTTTTCGCTAGATGTGGTATCTTTATTTACAAATGTTCCGGTGGATTTAGCTATGGACTTTCTGGTAGTTGCATTTACATTGAAAATAATTGCAAGATACCGAAAGATGAATTTCTAAAGGATTAATTTTGACACTTAATTTTGGATTCTACTTACATTGCTTTCGATGATTAAATATATAAACAGACCATTGGTACTCCGATGGGTTCGCCATTATCACCTATTATTGCTGACAGTCATGCAACAAGATTTAGAAAATCGAGTGCTGAGTTCCATTGAATTCATTTTGCTTTTCTACTGTAGGTATATGATGATATGGTACTATGTTTACCGCCCACTACTGAGGTGGATAGCATCTTGGAAAAATTTAACTCTCTTCACCAGATACTGCAGTTTACGATGGATGTGAGGGGTAACACCATTAATTTTTGAGACACTACTATTCTTTTAAAGAATAATGGTCTAATTTTTGATGGTACAAAAAACCAGGGTTGCTATTGTTACATAAAAAAGCAATCAAGTTACTAATTTCGTTACTTTTTTAGTATCGAATGAGTAACGGAGTTACTTTTAGTAATGAGTAACAGTAATGATAACTAAATCACAATTTTCAGGAACTAATAACGAAATTTTACGTCTTTTTTTCGTTATTCCGTGGATATAAGATTATTTTAATGAAAATGCGTTTACGCCTTGACGGAAAAGCAGAAAGCGGAAAAGCAGTGGATAATCAGAAATCCCGCTGGTACAAAGTAGTACAAAAAGCCAAAATTGACGGCACCCTAACAAACGGACCTATTGAGCAACAGTTACCTCTATTATTAAACAAAAATTCCAGATTTAGCGATACAAATTATTTACAACTTAAAGTTAAGATACAAATTTAAATATGTATATATTAAGGAGTATCATATTAAAGAGCAAATGAAGAACTAATAAAATAAAACAAAAATATATATTAAAAAACGATTTGTTCTTATGTAGTTATTATTTGCGTAAATGCAATTATTTTTTAAAAATAGCAAAAAAGTAGCGATTTTTCCGTTACTTTATGTGACAATAACACTTTACTTTTAGAATCGGTGACGAGTAAAGAGTAACGAATTACTTTTTACCGCAAATAACAGTAACTGTAACGCGTTACTAAAAAACGGTAATTTTAACAACGCTGTAAAAAAACCCACCTTCTCAGACAGATTTTTGAATTATTGATCTCACAATACAATTTAAAAAAAGAAGGTTATCATCGAAAGAGTTTTTACTTTTCACATTCAGAATTTTACAAAAGAAATTTAAATTTTCTGATTAGAATTGTATTAGAAAATGCCTTTCCGTTGAAATTTATTTTTGAAACATTGTCTGATAGAATAAATAAATTAATTGAAAAATCCAATTCTAATTACAATAACACAAACTATAGAAAATCAAAGCCTTACACGGTTTAGCTGGATCTTAATGCTTGTATGATTCTTATGTGAATTTATATACTACGTATGTAGTCCCACAGAAACGCGCGCCGAAAAATTTCCGGTCTTGAAACGCTAACTCTACT